GAGGAAGTCCTATGACTCTCTCTGTACATAAATTTTTCCTTTCTTGTTATTTTTGATTTGTTTTGGTTGTGTTTGTGGTTCTCAGGAATGGAGAAACAATCTGGAGATAGAGTAAAAATTCAAAATGTTACTCTACCAAGGACCCTGTGATCGAGTACCCTGCACCAGAGGAGGAAGAGCAACAACAAGGTCCCAACATTCCATGGGAATACACCAGAGAGGAGATGGACGACTACATCTCCAAGACCTTCAACTGAGGTACCACACCCAACCATCATTGTAAATACCATTTTCTGTTTTTGTTTTGTAGTGTCTCTCTTGAAATCTCCTTTAGATTTTTACTACACAAGGGACTGTGTAGTTTAAGTTTGGGGGAGGATTCAAGACGTATTTAACATGTTTTCTTTGAGTCTTGTTTTCAAATTTTTGCATTGTATATACTCTTGAGTCTGCATTCATTTAAGGCACAGAAAAAACCATAAAAATTTGAAAAATTTCTGAAAATGTATTCCACAAAAACAGAGTGTTCATTTAGTTGCATCACATTTAGGATCGAGTCTAGTATATTTTCATATAGGATTGTTGCATATGCATAGGGGATTATGATGAGATAGCCTTGTAAGCATGTTGGTTCAATAGATAGACTCAATGCCCTCGTTTCTAGTTGTCTGATGCGTAGTCAATGAAATTGAAGTAAAACTGCACCATGTCTTGAATGCTCTACTCGATCACACTGTCATGATTTGATATCATTCCCTATCAATTTGAACCTGAATCTGATTTACAATTATCATGTCTTAGCATCAAATTTGAACTCATGGATACCATATACATACTTGGGTTTTCTTTCAACTTTTCACCATCCTTGCTAACCCAAGTAGCTGCTTCCACCATAGGAGCAGTTTCCCTAGACCTTAACCAAACCTTTCTTTTAAGCCCTGTTATATCTCTTGTGTGATTGTGAGGCCTGTTTCAGGATTGAGCTTGGTAGAAAGTGTTAGGTTTGAACCGACAAGAGTAGTGTCTCATGTAGTTCTAGTCCATGTTTTCTGGACTAGATAGGACTAGGTGGGAGTCTATTTTTGGGTGGGGATCGAGTATATGAGTAAAAGAAGGAAAAGGTTGATGCTTTTAGGAGAAGGAAGTTGAAAAACAAGTTAGTCTAGTAATGGATTTTGGGGAATTAAATAGTCGAATAGATAGGCTCTGTAATAAAAGAAAACAAAAGTCTAGAGAAGTCTTTATCATAAGAAGATAACAAGAGCCTTAGTTGTCAAAGAAAACCAAATCCACTAGACCCATTAAAGTAAAAGAAAACTTCTCTTTAGAACAGACTCAGAGAAAAGAAAGAGTTGCTTGATCCAAGAAAAGAATGACTGGAAAAAAAAAATATCTTGAGTGCAAAGGGTAGAACTAGGATCAACTTCTGTACTTGAGGGTAGTACCATCTGCTGGTGTATACACGGTTTATGTTATTGGGTAGATGAGATACTATTCTTGTATGCATAGGTTGGGTCTTACCTTTAGCATTCTCCTAAAGCTCAGTCCATTTCTTTTGAGAGTCCCCTGTTACTAAACTTGAACCACCTAAAAGGGACTGTCTTTGTCTCCTAACCTTCACCTTAAGCCAAATGAGTTCATTGATGGTGCATTGCTTGATTCACGTTCTGAAATTAATGAATGTTGAAGGGATTGGTCGATTTGAAAGCATGTGTAGATCGAGTATAAGAGTAGGATTGAATTATAACAAGGCATGGATAACGTTTTTGAGTAGAGATCGATCATATCGCATCCTAGAACTACCAACTTGGACCTTGATTTTATCTGTTTTATCTGATGCTTTGGTTCTGAATCCCCACCTTCAAACCTCTCCTTCATCTTATATTTACTTGTTTGCTTGAAGGCCAGCAAAGACTAAGTTTGGGGGAGTTGATATGTCTATAATTTACATGTTTTACACATCCATTTATCACTATTTTGAGTTTAGTTTCATTCATCTTTCATAGCATTCATCATCATTTTGCACATTTTGCATATTTAAGTGTGTCTAGCATTAATCTTGCATGCATTTTGCATTCTAGAGTTGTTTCAGGTGCTTCAGGGCTATTGGTGTTCAGAAAGAGGAAAAACAGAGCTGAAAATCACCTTTGGACTATTCTACTCGATCACCAGTAGCAGAGAGGGAAGCAGTCAGCTCAGCAGACCATCAAGACTGTTCTACTCGATCACCACTAGCAAAGAGGGAAGCAGTCAGCTCAGCAGGCCATCCAGTCTACCCTTATACTCGATCACAGGGCAGTCCATCCTGACAGACTACCCTTATACTCGATCACAAGGAAGAGAAGGCAGTCCATCCTGACAGACTACCCTTATACTCGATCATAGGAGAGAAGAAGCAGTCCAGATCATGCCATCAACCATTCTACTCGATCACCACCTTGACCCTCTGATCAATCCGCACTAAACCAGACAACCTGAGCATAGGAAAGAGAAGAGGAGAGAAGGAACCACTTGATCGCGGCTTCGATTCACGCTCGACCATGAAGCCCACTTTGAGCCCATATACTCGATCTCCACGTTCCATGGGCCTGTTAAGCAGACTCGAAGCCCACTTACTTATCTTTGTCGTTTTTGTATAAATAAGTCTCTAAGGGTTTCCCCTGAGTCATTCATGTTTTAGACTCGTAACCTAGTATCGTTTTTCTGAATTCAGTAGCCGCTTTTGCTTGAAACTTTGTATTTTCGATTTCTTCTAAGTATTTAAGATTTTGCTTTCATTCCCTTGTTCATTTCTGTTTGATATTCCTTTAATCTTTGAAGTTATGCAATCATCAATCATTTCTATGTCTTTGAGCATGTTGTCTGAGTAGTGACTAGGATTTCTGAAGATGGGATAGAGTAGATGTGAGACCCTTAGTCGATTCTGATGGTTAAGTGTAGTTATATTGAATCCCTTCTGGATTAGTTGTGTTTACTGCTTATTTGATAGTAGGATTTTAACTAAGATCAATTATCCTTAAAGTACTATCATGTCATTGCGGTATTTAAGGTGTCAATCCAAATGGGTGTGATGCTAGCAATAAAGATGCAATCAGATTTCACAGAGTCAAGCCAAGCAATAATAGGTTATAATGTTGTTAACAGTTCCAGTGATCATACCGAAAACAGTAATTCTAACAGAAACAGATAACACACTCGATCACACAGCTTGATGCCAAGCACTGGATGTGGTCGAGTGCCAGGTCGAGTACCAAACAGAAACTGCAACAAATGTACTCGACTGCATAGTCCGTTTCCAAACCGCTCGGTGTGGTCGAGTACTTCAAGTGAAATAAGTAAAAATGCGAAAACTAAGCAACAAGTAACGAGATCAAGCAATCAAAAGCGATGTAAACAAAGAAATCAATTGGAAGAGAAATTCCCGAGGATGGGGTAATCGAGTAGTGAAGTCTCCTTAATATAACAGGTGGTTAACATGCTCAACAAACTATCCCTAGACAACAAGTTCAATAACCAAATCAAAGTGCTACCGCAACAGAGATCCTCAAGCAAAGCTAGTCCCATACTCAATCACCATTGACGAGAGCTAACTTAACAGGCATTACGAAACAACAAGTCTAAGCCAAAACGCTCCCTGTAACCAATACCTTGGTACAGAGCCACGAATCTCTGGAATTAGTGGTTCAGACATTTCATCGAACACCTTTTGGGTGCGGAAATGTCTGGGCTCAGATTCCAGTTGATCAGAAAGCAATCAACATTAAGAACAACTAATCCAGAAGGGATCTACCAATCAAAGTCAACCACCTAGCAGATCAAGGATTCTAAACTACCCTAACCCATCCTCAAGAACCCTAATCACTACTCAAAATTCATAACCAAGAACACAAACCCAGAAATGCATAAAAACTTCATATTAGCAAGATCTCAACAAGATGAACAACTTTGTAGAAGAAATCAAAAGCAAATACTCAATAGATTAAGAGAAATCTGGATTACAAATATGAAGAAAGCACTAATTGTTCTCCAGAATAAAACTTAGTCTGAAACAACCTATTTATAGTAAATCCTAGGAAACCCTAAATCACAAGACGACAAAGTATTAAGGCGGTTTACGGAGACATTCGGCTTCGTGCAATCGAGTGATGAGGTCGAGCAAAGCTGGCTCTTTTGCGGCTTCTTGATCTGGTCGTGATGCGATCGAGTGACTAGGTCGAGTATGCACTCGAGTCCCGCTTCATCTTCTTCTCTTCCTTATGCTCAGTGTCTGGTTGAGTTGGGATCTGAGAAGCCTCTGAAGCGTGCAGTCGAGTGCTTGGTCGAGTAAGTTGGTGGAGGATACTCGACTGCGTGCTCGAGTCGTGATCTGGAGTCGTGGTCGAGTTGGTGAAGGAGCTGGTACTCGACCACGAGGTCGAGTGGTAGGTCGAGTTGGTGAAGGAGAGGATACTCGACTTTAGAGGTGTCAAGCGGGCCGATAGCCCGCGGGCTTTGTCCAAGTAGCCCACAGCGGGGCGGGCTTGGACATCATTTTTCATGCCCATAAAATAGCGGGCCTCGCGGACAAGCCCAGGGAGATTGCGGGTTTTTGCGGGTTTTATCCGCGGATTTGCGGGCCGGCCCGCGGACTACAAATATTTAATAAAAATAAATAATTAATATAAATAACACGACAGGAAAATCAAGCATTGATAACGTCCAAAAAACGCTATTTATCGCAAGCGTAGCGTATTTAGAAACGCTATATCATCGACCGCGACAATAAGTCAAAGACCTTTCATAGCGGTTTTACGTTATGCTATTGTAGTATTTTTTTAATATAGCGTTTTAATATATGCAATTGTATTGTTTACAATAGCATTGCATTTATGTTATTATTTATTTTATTTTACGTCATAATTGATACTTATATTGTAGCATTTTTTTGGTTTGCTATAAATTTTGATTTTGAATTCCTAAAACTCCGATTTTACTCTATAAAGGAAAAAAATAATCAATAATTTGTGATAATAATAATTAACAAAAACAATTCTCTAACGATAATAATATATACAATTCAATTAAGTTGTCAAATTACAGTTTAAGAAGACAAGATACTGATTACGTTAATGTACCCAGACCCTTCTCTTCTCTCCCAAACCCTCTTTAGACTCTATTCGTCTTCATCGCTTAAGTTGTAGTCAATAGCTCTTAGAATTTCTCTTCCAGTTCCTTTGTCTCCAAAAATCTTCATTCTTCTTTAGAATTTGAGCAAATTCCTGAAGCAAAGAACATAGGTATTAAGAACCAACCCAAAAATTTCAATTCATAATTAAGATTCAGATCCTAACCTATTTTTTAGAGAAAATCTTCTTGGAAACAACGACAACAACTTCTGGTTTGAGGTGCTTCTCGGCTTCGCTTCTAAATACATGAGAGGATGAAGATTGTACCAAATCCGAAAACCTTAATCCCACACCATAAGGATCTGATAAGAATAACAAATGCAGAAAAATAAATTATGACATATAGTTGAAATATCTAAATTGAAATCTCAAACACTAAGAAGAATTCAGAATAGAGTGAGATTCACTAGCAAAGATGTGAAGATGGCGACAGATCTCGGAAACAACAACAGAGACGAAACGGACAGAGGAGATTCGAGAATCAAAAACATCTCTCACCACGTCTTTCTCAATTATTTTCGTTTTGGAGATTTAGCAACGACCAGATCTAAAGAAAAAAAATCAGATCTAAGAAAGAAGGGAGAAGAAGAATAGGTAAAGACGAAGAAACGAGAAGAATTAGTTTAGTAAGGAGACGAAGAAGAGAAGAAGAGAAGAGAGAAGAGAAGACTTACTCTGGGGTTTCGAGGTTTGAAGTCGAAGGCGGCGAGAAGAAGAAGAGATGAAGCGTTAGGAGACCGGAATCAAAAGCTCTCTATCTCTTTCATGATCGGCCATCACAATTGTCGGCTTCTCGTCTCACATCGCCGGAAAACTCAAGTCGGAGAAGAAGAAATAAAAAGAAGAGAGTAGAGAAAGTGTTTCACGAGTAATTTAACCTAATCAATCTATGTCTCTTCTAATTCTTTCTTTTCATTATTTTTTTATCATTATTATTTTGTTACTTAGAAAATTTTTGGAGACAATAAAATTTCCATTTTCCCGGTTATCCCTACGATAACGTTTTTATTGTCTCTATGCTATCGTAGAACTAAAAGCTAGGCGCCATTACGAAATATTTTCGCGGTCATCCTACTATAGCGTTTGCTTTTTCAGAAACGCTATGAAATTTTTTCTGAAACTCAACTATAGCAGAACTATCAAAAACGCTATTATGTACTGCTATCAATATCCTCATTTCCTGTAGTGTAAATAAATATTTTTACATAATTCTAAAAATATATATGTGAAATATATGAACATATAACGAAATTTAATGTATAAAATTATAAGATTTACAAAAAAAAATCAATTCTAAAGTATTTTTTATTGAAAAATTGTTAATTTTAAATTTTAAAAATTAATTTTATTTTTTTAATTATTTTTAAATTATTTAAAACTAAGCCCGCGGGCCGGCCCGCTAACCCGTTGGGCTTAGCGGGGCGGGCCTGGACATATTATTTTTGTCCGCGGTCCTAGCGGGCCGGCCCGTTTGACACCTCTACTCGACTTGGTGATCGACTTGGTGATCGACTTGGTGCTCGAGTTGGTGCTCGAGTTGGTGATCGAGTTGGTGATCGACTTGGTGCTCGACTTGGTGCTCGACTTGGTCGTGGTCGAGTGCATTTGGAAGGTCATGATGATGGTGCTCGACCTCGTGGTCGAGCATACTGATGGGTTCTGGTCCACTTCTTCCAATTTGCTCACCAACAGCTCCAAATCACCTGAAAACAACTCAAATATGCAACATGCATGCAAAACTATCCTAATCATGCAAAGTGATGACAAATGATGAAGAATGGTATGAAACAATGACGAAATGATGATAAAGTGATGCTAAATGGATGCTCAAAACAAGTAAAATATAGACATATCAACTCCCCCAAACTTAGTCTTTGCTTGCCCTCAAGCAAACAATTAAGAACAAGCTGGAGGAGAGGTTGGAAAGCGGGGACTCAGAACCAAAGCATGCAGACAAAGCAAATGAACTCAATGTCCAAGTTACTAATTGTGGAATGCTTAGAGACCAAACTCTACTTAAAAACTTTAGCCATATTCATCACAAGACAACCTAACATTTGTTCCAATCTACACACACCTTCAGATCATCAATTCCCTTTAACATTGATTAAGCTCAAACCATGAATCAAGCAAAACATTGTTGAAGAACTCATTTGGTTTAAAGGACAAGGCTGAGAAACAAAGATGGTTCCTTTGCAAATGGTTTCAGACTTTTTCACAGTAACAGGGAACTCTCATGAATGGACAGAGCTTTTAGTAGAATGCCAAAGGTTAGAACCAACCTACGCATACAAGAACAGACCCCATCTACCCAAATAACCATAAGTATATCAAACTCCATAGATGGTCCTGTCTCTAAACCCCAAAAATGATCCTAATTCTACCCTTTGCACTCAAGGCATGTTTCAATAAACTTTTGGATCAACCCATTCTTTCTTTTTGGTTTTGTTCTAAGGAGAGGTTTTCTTTTAGAGTTTCTAGCGGATTGGGACTTTCTTTAACAACTAAGGCTCTTCTTTTCATCTCATGACTTAAGACAACTCTAGACTTTTGCCTTTCTTTTTACTTTGCTCAGAGCCTAACTTCTTTTATTTTCAAGCTTCCCAAATCCTTTACTAGACTAACAAGATATTCTTTTCTGTTTCACTTCCATCTCCTAAGAACAATAACACTTGTCTTTCTTTCTCATTTTCTTTCCAAACACATTCCAAAACCCAAAGTAAAACTCCCACCTAGTCCTATCTAGCCCAAAAAGCGTGGACTAGAACTACATGGGATACCATTCTTGTCGGTTCATACCTAACACTTTCTACCAAGCTCAATCCGGAAATAGGCCTCACACACACACAAATTTATTCAGGGCTTGAAAGAAAGGTTAGGTTCAGGGTGGGGGAAACTGTTCCAATGATGGGAATCAGCTACTTGGATTAGCAAGAGTGGTAGAAGGTGAAAGAAAATCCAAGTATGTGTATTGGTAGCCACAAGTTCAACAACAATGCAAAGACATGATAATTACAAGTCAAGTTCAGGTTCTAATAGATAGGGAAAAGAATCACATCAAGCGTGCTTCAATTAAAACAAGAGAGTCAAGTTGTGAATTCCAAATATGGTGCAGTCTTAATTCAAGTTCTATCACATGCATTAAACAACTAATAACGAGGGCATTGAATTCATTCAGTAAATGAGCATGCTTACAAGGTTATCTCATCATCATCCCCTATGCAAATGCAGCAATCCTATATGAAACTTTCTAGACTCAATCTTAAAATGAAAATGCAACTACATGAACACTCTATTTTTGTGAAATCATTTTCAGAAATTTTTCAAATTTTTAGGGTTTTTTCAATAACATAGATGAATGCAGACAATATGTACAATGCAAGAAAAATTTGAAAACAAGAACAAAGCAAACACATCAGATACTTCCTGAGCCCTCCCCCAAACTCGAATCACACAGTCCTCTGTGTGATCAAACTTGGAAGAGAGTACTCAGGACAAAAACAACGCAGAAACAAAATAAACAGAAGATGGTATTTGACAATGGTGAATGGTAGTGCTTACCTCAGTTGAAGTAAGAGCGCAGGTGATCGTCAATCCCTGCCTGTGACTCGTGCCAAGCTCTAGAAGAGTCATCCTGTTGTTGCTCAGCGCCCTCTTCTTGTTGGTACTCGACCTCTCTTCTCCTATTGCGGCCAGCACCGCGGTCGAGTGACCTTCTAGCGTTGAGAAGGCGTGATTTCCTACTGGAGCGAGCGAGCATAGCTTTCTTCCTTCTCTTGTGATCCCGAGGCTCATGTGATGAATGCCTCGCAGTGATGTGTGAGACATCATGCTCACTAGGCTCAGGCCTGTACTGACTCGGCTCAGGCTCATTGTATCTTTGTGAAGGCATGTCCTGAGGAGGCTGTCCCTGTTGCACTGCTGTGCTGGAAGAGGAGCAGCTAACTATGGCTTTCAGAGACTTCATACCCTTTATACATTTGGTGATGAACCTGTCCTGCTTTTTGCACCACTTCTGCAACAGGCTCTTGTTTCTGTGAGCTTCACTCAAGCTCTTACTCTCTCTTGCTGGAGCCACATGCTCACTGAAATGATACATACTGGTATCATATGGCTCTTCCCAGTCTTCCTCCATGTCAACAATCTCATCATTTGTAGCTTCTTCTTCTGCAGGGACATCCTCATGCATTGGCTGAGCCCTCTCGACATACAGGTCGTCGACTGAAGGCTCAAAGTCTATGTTGTCTCCCTCTATGATGCGTGTGAGCTCAGGGCGGGGGAGAAGGATGTTGGCTCTCTTGGTTGTGGGATGCTCAAAGCGGTATCTATACATGTCGCCAACCATCGCACGCTCCAGGAATTCAATGCGATGTAGGTGGTAAATATCCATCCACTTTGCTTCATGTCCCTTGGAGACGATGGGGACTCCACATGCAATCAGAATTGGTGTCACCACACCTCCTATGCAGAGAGAACCTCGTGCTCTCTTGTTATTATTGGAGACAGCCCATTGCTTGTAACCACACAGGTGGAGCAACAAGAGAATAACAAGAGGTGTGTCATTGGTATCGCCGTGCAGAATCTGATTGTTCTTGGCCCGATGGAGAGTGCCTTTGAGAGCCATGGAGATCATCTCCATATCAGTGTTGGTGACCGTCCCTGTAGCTTCTCTGGAGTAAAGAACATGAGCTACTAAGCGTTGGAAGTACCTGATGACGGGGCTGCGTATTTAATTACTCTTTGATCTCGAAGAGTTAAGCGCTGAGGTGCTGCCAATGGTGAGCCATAGATTCTTCAACTCGCTTCTATCAAACCTCTGTTTGGTTCCCGTTCCATTGGGGAATGCAAACAGTCCTTCCAACCGTTGGATTGTCAGCATGTAGTCCTGCCCATGCACTGTGAATGTGATGAAGCCCAACCCGTCGATTTCTTGGTAGATTTCCACTTGTAGATTTCCACTTGTAGGATTTTGATCACACAGCTTGATGCCAAGCACTGGATGTGGTCGAGTGCCAGGTCGAGTACCAAACAGAAACTGCAACAAATGTACTCGACTGCATAGTCCGTTTCCAAACCGCTCGGTGTGGTCGAGTACTTCAAGTGAAATAAGTAAAAATGCGAAAACTAAGCAACAAGTAACGAGATCAAGCAATCAAAAGCGATGTAAACAAAGAAATCAATTGGAAGAGAAATTCCCGAGGATGGGGTAATCGAGTATTGAAGTCTCCTTAATCTAACAGGTGGTTAACATGCTCAACAAACTATCCCTAGACAACAAGTTCAATAACCAAATCAAAGTGCTACCGCAACAGAGATCCTCAAGCAAAGCTAGTCCCAGACTCAATCACCATTGACGAGAGCTAACTTAACAGGCATTACGAAACAACAAGTCTAACCCAAAACGCTCCCTGTAACCAATACCTTGGTATAGAGCCACGAATCTCTGGAATTAGTGGTTCAGACATTTCATCGAATACCTTTTGGGTGCGGAAATGTCTGGGCTCAGATTCCAGTTGATCAGAAAGCAATTAGCATTAAGAACAACTAATCCAGAAGGGATCTACCAATCAAACTCAACCACCTAGCAGATCAAGGATTCTAAACTACCCTAACCCATCCTCAAGAACCCTAATCACTACTCAAAATTCATAACCAAGAACACAAACCCAGAAATGCATAAAAACTTCATATTAGCAAGATCTTAACAAGGTGAACAACTTTGTAGAAGAAATCAAAAGCAAATACTGAATAGAATAAGAGAAATCTGGATTACAAATATGAAGAAAGCACTAATTGTTCTCCAGAATAAAACTTAGTCTGAAAATTAAGAGAAATAACCTATTGATAGTAAATCCTAGGAAACCCTAAATCACAAGACGACAAAGTATTAAGGCGGTTTACGGAGACATTCGGCTTCGTGCAATCGAGTGAAGAGGTTGAGCAAAGCTGGCTCCTTTGCGGTTTCTTG